GATGCTGGGGTGTACATACACCTCAGCTCTTTACGATGCCTGGCTGCAGCTTCTTGCTGCCGCCCCATATACACCCTAAACCCTAAACCCTAAACCCTAAACCCTAAACCCTTGAGACTGTAAAGAAGAGAAGGCTGGTGTATGGTTTCTCTTCTCTTTCTCCCTCTGCTCTTCTGCTGCACCTTTAGTGCTTGCCCATGTCTCCCCAGCTAGCTAGCTAGCTAGCTAGCTAGCCAGCCAGCTAGCTAGCTGTATACAGTTATGTAGCTAGCTAGCTAGCTATCTACAGTCAAGTAGCTAGCTAGCTAGCTAGCTAGCAGCAGGAGCATCCCCATCCCAATCAGCAGCAGCAGCAGCAGCAGCAGCAGCAGGAGCAACCGTAGCATCCCCTCTACACCAATCCTCACCCCCACCAGTACCCCCACCACCACCAGCACCACCATCACCACCACCAGCACCACCACCACCACCAGCACCATCAGCATCAGCAGCAGCAGCAGCAGCAGGAGCAGCAGCAGCAGCAGCAGGAGCAGCAGGAGTGGCTATTAAGACCTCCATAAGGGGGGCGGGAGACAGCCAGCCCCCCAGCAGCACGACCCCCTCTGCTGTCTCTGTTGCTGTGTGGCCGTAGCGAGGAGACAGGGGGGGCCCCCGCACCACCAGCTGCCTCCAGCTGCTGCTGCTGCTGCTGAGTGCAGCACAAACGTCAAACCCTATTGCTTCTTCTGCTTCGGATACTCCTAGTCCTGCTGCTGCTGCTGCTGCTGCTGCTGCTGTTGTTGCTGCTGTTGCTGTTGTTGCTGCTGCTGCAGCAGTTGTTGTCTGCACTGTCTCCGTCCCTCTACCACTGCTACCACTGCTGCTGCTGCTGCTGCTGCTGCTGCTGCTGCTGCTGCTGCTGTAGCTGTGGGGCCAGCCCCCAAAGAGAAGGAGAGAGCTGCCGAAGCAGCTGAGTGTACACCCCATGCGGGGGGCGGGGATCGCCCCCTCAACCCTAACCCTGCTCCAGCAGCAACCAGACAGAGACAGTGCATGCATGTCTCCGCAGTACCAGTCTTCTATTCTACAAGGAATGCTGCTGAGATTAAATATATTGCTGCTGCTGCTGCTGCTGCTGCTGCTGCTGCTGCTGCTGCTGCTGGGGGGGCAGGTGGAAGGGGGGGAGGACGGGTCGTCAGGCGGTAGCTGCAGCGAAATACAAAAAAAAAAAAA